CGAGCACCATGAACAATGGAAACCAAGAGGACTCCATATGAGGGGCTCTAGAACCCGACCAAAGGGTTTAGGGTTAGGGTTCGATTAAAGGGTTTAGGGGTCAGGGTTGGGGCGTTAAAGGGTTTAGGGTAAAGTCTAGGGGTTGGGGGCTTCAAAGGCTTTTGGGCTTCGGGTTGGGGACATCACCAGGCTGTAGGGACGAGGGGAGATCCCAACCTTTACACGGACAGCTGGGGTTCTCTTTGATTGTGTGTCTCAAGTCTGATCGCTGCGGTGTTCAGGTAGACAGGTCTCTGAATCATGGCCCCTCCCCTTGATTTTGGTACCGCTAAAATGTTGTAACTTAGAGACCAGGTCAAATATGGGCGGTTGGGAAGGCAGGGGCAGTTTTTTGGTGGTTCCTATACCAAGAAGTAGTGTATTTGGGGGAGAAGTTGGGGTACTTGGGTAAATACCCATGTGCCCCCCAGCTCTAAACCCTAAACCCTTAGCCCAAACCCTACACCCTAAACCCTAAACCCCTAAACCCTAAACCCTAAACTAGAGCGAGCTGCGGGTCCTGCGATAAGCAGCAGCGAGCGATACCGCGTGGCGACAGCCCGCGGACGAGCCCGAGCCGTCCGGCGAAGCCTGGCGAGGGCTCGGGGCCAGTGCGCGCGATGAGCGCGGCCCACGCATAGAAGGGTGGAACCCGCGTGCCAGCGTCAGTCTGGCCCCAAAGAGAATAACCCCAAACCCTCGGTTTTAAAGTTAAAACCACGCATCCTTCCCCCGTAAGGGGCCTTCCCCGTAAGGGGCCTTCCCCGTAAGGGGCCTTCCCCGTAAGGGGCCTTCCCCATAAGGGGCCTTCCCCGTAAGGGGCCTGCTTTCCCCGCAAGGGGCCTTCCCCGCTTCCCCGTAAGGCGCCTTCCCCGTAAGGGGCCTTCCCCGTAAGGGGCCTTCCCCGTAAGGGGCCTTTTCCGTAAGGGGCCTTCCCCGTAAGGGGCCTTCCCCGAAAGGGGCCTTCCCCGTAAGGGGCCTTCCCCGTAAGGGCCTTCCCCGCAAGGCCTTCCGGCCTTCCCCGTGGGGCGGGCCTTCCGCGTAAGGGGCCTTCCCCGTAAGGGCAGGGCCTTTAGAGTGACCCCCGCCAGAGCACCCCCACCAGAGCACCTCCGCCAGAGCACCATCCCGCCACCGTAAGGGGCCTTCCCGTAAGGGCCTTCCTTAGGGGCCTCCCCGTAAGGGGCCTTCCCTGTAAGGGGCCTTCCCCGTAAGGGGCCTTCCCCATAAGGGGCCTTCCCCGTAAGGGGTCTGGGGCCTTCCCCGTAAGGGCCCTTCCCCATAAAGGGGTCTTCCCCGTAAAGGGGCCTTCCCCGTAAAGGGGCCTTCCCCGTAAAGGGGCCTTCCCTGTAAAGGGGCCTTCCCCGTAAAGGGGCCTTGGGCCTTCCCCGTAAAGGGGCCTTCCCCGTCCCCGTAAGGGGCCTTCCCCGTAAGGGGCCTTCCCGGTGGTAAGGGGCCTTCCCCTTCCCCGTAAGGGGCCTTCCCCGTAAGGGGCTTTCCCCGTAAGGGGCCTTCCCTGTAAGGGGCCTTCCCCGTAAGGGGCCTTCCGGCCTTCCCCGTAAGGGGCCTTCCCCGTAAGGGGCCTTCCCCGTAAAACGGAGGATCACCCAAAACCATCGTTTTTCAATATTAAAAAATCGCATTTTTAGTACGGGTCCGGCCAAATCCTGGGGCAGGGCCTTTAGAGTGACCCCCGCCAGAGCACCCCCACCAGAGCACGGGCCTCCCCGCAAGGGGCCTTCCCCGTAAGGGGCCTTCCCCGCAAGGGGCCTTCCCCACAAGGGGCCTTCCCCGTAAGGGGCCTTTATCGTAAGGGGCCTTCCCCGTAAGGGGCCTTCCCTGTAAGTGGCCTTCCCGCAAGGGGCCTTCCCCGTAAGGGGCCTTCCCCGCAAGGGGCCTTCCCCGTAAGGGGCCTTCCCCGTAAGGGGCCTTTCCCGTAAGGGGCCTTCCCCGTAAGGGGCCTTCCCCGTAAGGGGCCTTCCGCACCAGAGCACCCCGCGAGAGCACCCCCGCCGAGCACGGCTCCTCCCGGACCATTTCTGAGCTTTCTGCGAGCCGGACCATTTCTGAGCCTTTTTTTGGGCTCCTCCCGGACAATTTCTGGGCTCCGCCCGGACCATTTCTGAGCCTTTTTGGGCTTCTCCCGGACCGTTTCTGAGCCTTTTTGGGCTCCTCCCGGACCATTTCTGAACCAGGAAATCTTTTCAGGAAGCCTCCTTCGGCCAGGCCTCCCAAACTTCATGAGGTCCCAGGACAGTCGCAGGACCAAAAACCAAAGGGAGCCCAAGGCATAGACCTATGGGTCTTGTAAGCCCGGTATAAGCATCATAATTTGGAAACACCGGGCAAAAAAAATCTAAACCCGCCAAACAAACCTATGGATCTTGGGGGGACAAAGAGGCCTTCGCGGGGGGTACCCCAGGATTCGGTCAAAGGCGGCCCGTAGCGCCCCCTGCCACTACTGTACTTACACACGATGTTATAAAACCCTAAACCCGCCCAAGGTTGAGATGTGGGTGGGTGGGTTGGGAGAGTGCGTTGAACCTGGGCGCACACCACAACACACGTCCCGCGTGGTGGTGTGCGCGGAACCTTAGAACCCTAAACCCTAAACCCTACTGTAAGCCCTCAGCTCTCAGCCTCCCTTTCTGGCTCACAAATGGCGCGCAGCTTCGCTTTGCCGTCGGCTTTGCAGCAGCTGCCTTAATCCTTTCTCGGGCATCCAGGTGCCTCGGTGCCTAAGACCGAAGGTTTAGGGTTTAGGGTTTAGGGTTTAGGGTTTAGGGTTTAGGGTTTAGGGTTTAGGGTTTAGGGTTTAGGGTTTCGGGCATAGGGTTGTGGGGTTGTAGGGTTGAGGATTGAGTGCCCACCCCCCCCCTCCCAAACAACAAGTACACAGGCTCTTGAACGAGCGTGGAGGGCGGTGAAACGAATTTTGCTCGGCCACGTGTCGGCAACCAAACATCCCAAACTCCACACCCTATACCGTATACCGGTTTAGGGTTTAGGGGTTAGGGCGGTGTTGTCGCCCTAAGCAGCTGACTGGTTACAACCCCCTAGCTACCAGGTCCCTCACGAAAAAAGATCATGACCCAGGTATTCTGCCAACCCTGCGCGAAACCCCATATGCTCTGCTTCGGGCCTCGTAGTGTCAAGGGTGGACAAATCTATAGCCATGCTTCGGGGGTTTCGCCCTACCAGTCCAATCCGTATTCTTAAACACCCCCAAAACCCACCCTAGAGTCCCTCATGTCCCTAGCATCCCTAAACCCGTAACCCACTAAGAGCGTTAACCCTAAACCCTAAACCCTAAACCCTAAACCCTAAACCCTAAACCCTAAAAACAGCTTAGTCTTTAAGGTCGAGGTTGCGGGTGGCTCAGAGTTTGAGCCTGAAGGGGTTCCGATCCTTCCACCCCCTAGACTACAGGCCCTTTCAGAAAAAATGGCTTTGTAAGGTATATATAGGGGATTGAGAGTTCAAAAGTAAGTTTATGTTCAAACCTACCCAGTCGACCCTAAACCCTCAATTCCTCTGAGCCTTCAAACCGAAACGCTGCACCAAGGGCGTCCTTATCCTCGCGAAGGATTTTGCGGTATCGGGTCAGCCGACGCGCGACGGCCGTGCTCTGTCAGGTACCGGGCGCAAGCGTATGTTGCCACTCCTGCACCTGCCAATCTTGAGGGCAATTTCGGCTGGGGGGTTTGGAGTATGCACTACTTTCCCTGAAACCAGAATAATGAGGTCTTAGGGTCAGGGTTTAGGTTGGGATGCTCCCCCCCCTTGTTAGATTAACACCTCAATAGGGATTATAATAGGGGGGTACTATGATCCCTATTGAGGACTGTTTGTTCGCATTAGGGGGAATATCCCAAGGTTTAGGGCTTCAGAAGAACGAGATGCAACTGCCAGCAAACACGACAGAGGAGAGCGAGAGTCTATGTATCCCTAAACCTAAACCCTATGTTCGCAGGCTCCCAGCCCTCGCCACGCTGGTAGAGTCAGCCTTCGGCGCGCCTGCTCCTGCAGTGAAGCTATTGGCTAGCAGCCACCGAGGGACTAACTGGAAAGTCAATTTGCAGCAGGTGCTTGTCCTGCCTTGCCTCCCGCAGCGTCTCCCTCAACTCTTTTCTTTGTTGTCGCTTGTCCCAGTCAAGCGCAACAAGCTGAATCGTCAACTCTTCTTCGCCTTCATCTCTCCGCGCCCACAATATCCCTCTCCTCAACCAATACTTAGGTTGAGTTTGGCTGTTGTACTTTGCTGCAACTTCGCCGCCCTTCTGGCTCAGCAGCTGATAACCTTCTCTATGCCCTAAACCCGACACCCTATTAACCCTAAAACATCTACACCCACAGTGCACCTTAAGGAAGCTTAGGGAGCCTTAGGGAGCAGTGGGGAGTATTAGGGAACCTTGGGTTTCATACTCCCCTCCTTAAGAACCCTATTAGACAACGATGCTTATGCTCTAAAATCGCCTGATGTTAGGGTTTAGGGTTTAGGGTTATAGGAACTACTTCGGGGCCCAAGTACTCCAAAAGCCCTAAGACCCACTGTTGGAGGTCTATGGGCACCAATATAACTGGGACTATCAGTAAGGTACCTATAGGAACCACCCATGAACCTCCAAGTAGAGTTAAACCCTAAGCCCTAAACACTTATAAACTCTTCTGGGCCCTTATAAACAAACCTTTTTACGTCCTTACCAGCCCCGATAAGCCCTCAGAAGCCTTTATAAACCCTTAGAAGGCCCCTATAAACTCTTGAAAAACCTGACAAAACCCTTCTAAGCCCTTATAAACTCTTATCAACCTCTTCGAAACCCTAAACCCTGAACCCTAACCCAAAGTCCAAACCCTAAACCCTAAACCCTAATTAATCCCTAAACCCTAAACCCTAAACCCTAAACCCTAAACCCTAAGCCGCTAGGAATACCAAATCCACTCGTAGCGCAGCCCCAGGCCTACCGTGGCAGCGGCGGGAGGTGGATCTGGCAGTCAGAAGGACTTTAAGGGGGGTGGGGTTTATTGAAATTACTAAGGGTTCAGGTCCGGGAAAAGTTTCGAGGAGTTTCTTTTTTGGATTTGTTCTTAACAATTTCAAGTTACAGGGGGGCTTGAGGGTTTAGGGTTTAGGGTTTCGGGTTTAGGGTTGAGCGTCTAAGGCTTAGGGCTTAGGATTTAGGGTCTAGGGTCTAAGGGTTTAGGGCTTCAGGGCTTAAGGTATAGCTTAGGATTTAGGGATTGGGTCTTAACGGCTGACTAAAATGGCTCCAAAACCCTAAACCCTAAACCCTAGAGCCATAGGTCCATGGGCTCAAAACAGCCCCGAGAACCTCACGTGGCAAGGTCTTTGGCCCCAAAGACCTGTCAAAACCCCCAAGAAACCCCAAAGAAACCCCTAAAACCCCCCAAAAAACCCCTCAAAAAACCCGAAAAGAACCCCTAAAACTAAAACCCCTAAGAGTCTGACGGGGCGGCCTCCGAGCTGTGAGATGCCATGTGAGCCCGAGGTGGCGGCGCGGAACCTTTTCGTAGGGGTTCGGGCTTAGGGTTTAGGGTTGAGGGTTTAGGGTTTCGGGTTCAGGGTGTGGGGTTTAGGGTTTAGGGTTTAGGGCGTGGGGTTTAGGTTTAGGGCGTGGGGTTCAGGGTTTAGGGTGGGTTGTGAAGTAGCGAAGGTTTGAGAATTTAGGGGTTTAGGGGCTCAGGTGGCTGGACAGATATCGAAGGTACGCTGCCATGTCTTGGGCGCCTTAAGCAGCTTCATCAGACCGAACACGAAAACCTGATACTAATAGCTCCTGAATGGGGGACCTATGATAATCCCTGTTAAGGGCTGCTAGTATAAGGGGAACAGCCCAACCCTAAACCCCCAACTAAACCGCCCCAAAACCCGAACCCAAGCTTCCCCTAAAAAAATAGTAAAAAGGGGGATTCTCGGGTCAGTAGGGTTAGGTGTTGCTGTGTCTGCTTCATTCTTTGTCTTTCATCATTGTCACCTATCTTTTCTCATTCTTTGTTGCTGTTGCGTTTTCATTTCTTGCTCTCTGGGGTCTGGTTTCTTGCTGTGGTCGTCTTATTCGTTTTTTCTTAGGGGTGTCTCATTCGTTTCGTCTGGGTTTGCTTCCTCATTCGTTTTAGTGCTTCACCCTAGGAGTAATAATTTAATTTAAGTATTTGTCTAGTCTGTTATGTTTTCATTTTTAGGCCTAGTAGTTATTCTTAACTTTTGGTTTTGGTAGGTTTATTCGTTATTTTCGGTCTCTGGGTTAGACTATAATTGACTTTAGTTAGGCGGTTCGTAGAAAAGCCTAACATAAAGCCTAGTCTGGGCTTAGTGTGGTCTAGACATTCCCTAACTTTTGGTTATTCCTAGGGTTTATGGGCGGTTCAACCATTTCATTATATAATAATAATGTTATGGTCGCTTTAGTTTTATTTCATTAAATAACCATATGATGAATTGTAAGGCACATCAAATTGATTTTTACAACTGTCTTCAGTTAAAGTTTCATCTTCTTCATCTTCTGTTAATTTGCTAATATCATTCAGCAACTGCTTGTATTGGTCTCTTTTAGTTTCAAAGTTTGTAATTTCTTCATCATACTTCTTAATCTCATCTACAATCGTAGTAACATCCTCTTCATCTATAACTTTTTCATAACTAAGTTTAAGGTTATATAACTTCTTAATCATATTTTTGTTTTTCTCGTGCTCATCTATCAGTTCCTTCAATTTATTATTGTATTTATTATATAATTTATCCATTAATATTATAGGGTTTTTAACTTTAAGTATTTTCAACTATAATATTATTTTATGTTAATAATATTATGGTCGGTCTATAATGATGAATTTTAACCATTCCATTAAATCATAAAAAACTTGTCGCTTATTTAAATATGTAATTATCATTGAAAATATTCTTAAATAATGATACAAAATATTGTTTTAGTTCAACTCTATTATTATAATATTTCATATCATTATTATATTTGGTTATTAATAGTTCTTTCAGTTCTTTTACCTTTTCTTCATTAAAATAATGGTTATAAGCATCTTCAAATTTGTCATTAATATTTTTATCATATAATTCAGTAAATTTTTCATAATATTCAGTTTCATATTCTTCTACTTCATCTTTATAAATATTACAATATATAGTAGCAATACAAAAATTTGTATAATACCCTCTCAATATTTTAAGTATTATATTACGATGATTAGGAAACTCATTTGTTGATACTAAACTATAAATAAGAATGGAAACATCATACTCTAAATAATAGTTTCTTGATACACAGTCACTACATCCGATGTAGGAAAAGATATTCTCATTTACACCATCATTAAATACATTAAAGTTATTCTTCAACTGATAATATATTAATTTACAGTTCTTACAGTTTCTAATATCATCCTTTATTAATTTACGACCATACTCAATTTCTTTCTCAATGTTATAATCTACTGTTACAACGCTTTCACTATCACTCATTACTATAATATACTAGGGCGCTATGTCTTTAAGTATATACTAATCAATTAATAATATTTCGTGCCTGTTATATTTTTTAGTTTTACCTTCTAGGATATAGTGTTTGTTGAGCTGTAGGTCTCTTGCTATTTCCTTAACCGTGTATGTCTGTTCGCTCCACTGATTACGACTTTCTTTTCTTGAAGTGTAGTTGCCCTTTCCTTTTACAAATACTTTAACTTTATCCCCGACTTCTACCTTGGGATATTTTCTTAAATACTTTTCTTTCAATACCGAGTTCGCCTTGACTTTCACTGCGTTCTCGTCCTTGTGTGCTTCGTCTGGTATCATATCCGTTGTTGAGTGTTTCATTTGTTTATTATATTTGTTTAAGACTGGTTGTAATAAGATTGTCCATGCTCCTTTTGTTACTAACGCTCTATCAGTAATCATTTTCTTAATAGTTCTAATTGCTCTCTCTGCTACATTCGCGTGAGTCAAAGTTACTATATGGTCAATGCCTTCCCCTTTCAAAAAATCTTGTAGTTTCTTATAGTTAAACGCTCCGTCGTCATCCGAATAAATACTATTAGGATAACCCATAACCTTAAAGCACTCCATAAAAGCGTTATACACTGTTTCACCGTCTCGGTTCTCCATAGGCACGATATGAATTTTCTTACTAAAATTATCAATACATAACAACGCGTATCTCTTATACTCTTTCTTAAAAGTATCTGTATCTCTCATTAAACTAACCATATCCATAATATCAACACTATAAACTGCTCTAGCATAAGGCGCCGAATAACTGTTATAATTCTTATAATTTCTCCTTTGAGTTGTTTGTTTCTTAACCCAGTCCTTAACATATTGTAAGGTTACACCCGCTCCGTCTTTATTTGCTTCTTCATATAAACTTCTTACTGACCCATACCCTCTTTCTAAATCATAATATATCTTCTCCAAAATCTCATTAGCACTCATAATTAATATTAACTAGAAATTTAATTAATATTAATTATAAACCTACAATTTTCCTCACTAATGTTTTCTCCATTTCTTTTTGTTGCTTCTCTTCATAAATTCTCTTACACCTTTCGGTATTCTGATGCTTTGCTTTATTACTGTTACTTGTTATTGTTTTACCACATCTTTCACATACATAACTCTTACTGTTTTTCTTGTAATAGTCATTAAAATAGTCATCTTCTTTATACTTCTGGTTTAACCTATCATTATAAATTTTCTTCTTTTCTTTCTTGATACACTTATCACTTTCACTATCAGTAGTTGAAACATCCCCATTATCAATACTATTCCATAATAGGTCAAACAAATCGTCATTAATTGTTGTTTTTATTCCGTCATTACCTACAAAGTAGTTAGTCATAATTTAATATATAATATGAATATTTCTTTAAGTGGCTTATGCGAAAGCATAAGCGATAAAAGAAATATCTCATTTATTTAAGTTTGATTTTTAAACTTGGGAAGCGTTTGTTTGTATCCTTTACTGATGCTTCTATTGTTGGCTTATTCCAAAGAATATTTTTTGCCCACATGCCACTAGTTGTATAATCTTTCCAGTCTTGATTAACTTTATGCCTTGCTATATATTTTTCCTTTCTTTCTTCATCCTTATGTTTTGTAAAGTCGCTGTATCCACTAGCACCGAAGGAAACTTTTTTACTACCATTGATAATAGCATCATATTTCTTTTTTGGATTGGTAGATTTCTTAATTATTACTTCTGTCATTAAGTAAAACGAGAAAATTACTGATTAAAACCATAATCTATTGTTGATGCTACGCTTGTTGAACTACTTAAAACTGTTGATGGTCGCGCGCTGTTGCTACTTCTTCTTGAACTATGGACGCTTTGAGGTGGCGAACTTCTTACACTTTGTGGTGGCGTTACTGTTTGATAAACTGGTAGTGCTGGATTACTTGAACGCCTTGACGACGAAGATGAACTACTAGATTGTGGTGGCGTTGGATTATTCTTATTACTTGCTTGCGCTTCTTCCTCTTCTTCATCTTCATCTTCATTAGCACCACCACCAAAACTAAAAAACTCTCTTAATCTTCTCAAATCATCCATAATTTGACTTCTTTGTTGTGGTTGTGATGATTGACTTGAATTACTGCGACTTATATTATTAGGTAGCCCGCTAGGCATTGAACTGGGTTCTGACGGTTCTGACGGTTCCGATGGCGATGAGATACTGTTCTGTTTCAACATATACCTAAATGTTTGTGTCATTTTGTTTCTTCTATCCTTTAACAAACTTTCATAATCTTTAATTTCACTATCAAATATCCACCCTATACCTTCAAAATCTGGATAATCCGCTAAAACTCCCTTATCTGCTGTTGTTATGCCACTTTCTCGTATATCTTCAACTTCATAACCTGTAGTGTCTAAAAATGGGTTATACATACCTTTAATATAAACATCATCATCGGATGCTCTCCTTTTCCTTTTTGGTAGTTTATCTTTATATAAATTTAGTCGTTTATACATATATTATAAGATAAGAAAAATTAAGTTCCTGTCATAGCACCTATTGCTCCCTTTACTACACCCTTTCCTACTTCCTGTAATCCTACCGAAAGCGCAGATGATGCCGCCGACCCCGCGCTCGCTAGGAATTGACGAACCACTCCTCCTCCTCGTTTTTTCTTCATATCCTTCCATTCTTTCACTTTCCGTTTTATCTTTTGTTGGTTTGCTAATGTTTGCCATTCACCAGTATCAATATGACCTTGAACAATACCTACCAAAAACGATATTCGTTGCGCATCGTTACTTTTCTCATCAACTTCATTAAGGATTTCAGGTGTCAATAAATCACGGTAAAACAATTGAAACAATACACCATCTACTGTTATATTATCATCTCTCATAATTGTTTGAGCATCATTATTAAAGTTAAATACACCTGTTTCAAATGTGGTTAAACTCTGATATTCATCATCTGGTATTAATTCTTCTGTAGATACATCGCCTTCTTCTGGTGGAGGTGCTGGTATATCTCTTGAAGAAGA